TTTTTTTAGTTGATTCCACCTGGCCTTTGAATGATTTCTTAAGCACAAAGATAAATAAAGACCCAAAATAGGTTTAATTGGTTTTTAGTTATTCTTTTGGTACGCCGGAAGGTTGGTTTTACTTATAAGGTCATTTTGGTACAGTTTGTTTGGTAATCCATTTTAGTATATGTTTGTTAGAGGGACCGAATTAACTTTCAATTCCCATTATTAGGATTAGGTAAATTTAATGGAATATAATCTCTTACAACTTTACAAGTCTTTAAAGTTGCTTACTTCTAATTTTGCTGTAAGCAGCATTATAACCACAAAAAATATCTTCATCTCATCTGGTTGCATGGCCCTTAATGTCTCTCTCCAAAAAGAGAAGAATAGAATATAACAAATTATTATTATTATTATTTATTGTTAGGTAAATAATAACTATTATGTTTCTATTTTTTTTTCTTAAGTTATACAGTGCAGTTTGAAGTTGGCTCCCAATGACAAAGTGTAACGACCTTAACCCTATCTAAGTATAATATTGTTTGTTTTTGGCTCCCTCGGACCAGAGACTTTATACTATTTTAAGTTAAGCATGGCTCCCTCGGACCAGAGACCTGATACTACTCTAGGTTATCCACGTTTAACTTTTGAGTTATGATGAATTAACGATTTTAAAACGCGTTGTGTCATGGAAGAATGTTGAATTTACATATAACACTAGCCTTTTCCACACCCAGGCAATTTGAAATTGTGCATTTATAATTCGTCTAGTGTGGTAGCCAACTGATACCTTTTACACATGCTCACACACAACCGTTCACAAGGTCGATCGCCACACAAAGACTCGAAGCCGGACTCCCAATGACAACAACCAAAAAAAAAAATTCAATTGCTGAATAACGAAGACACTCGCTAGTAGATTCGGATGAAGTCGCAAACTTAACCAAATATTGCAGGGGTAAAGACAAAACATATTGAGGAGGATGGTGACCGTCAAAATTCATTACATCAGTGACGTTATGGCAAAACTACCCTCAAGTAACAACTGGCCATTAGGGTGGGTCAACATAGAAAAAATAATAATTTCATTTTCTTATTGAGCATGCACTAAAGATTGCTTCATAAATGATTAGATTCGGCTTTATCCTAAGTTTCTAAAATCTCACCTATAAAGCCAAACAGGGACTTAAGCAGGGTTGAATGTGTGGATTGGAGTTTCCAATAATGGAAATGATTTGATGAGAAAGTTTTAAGCAAGAGTTGCATTTCAATCTGTACATTATGAATACACCCAAAATGTCAAACTAAATCAAGTGAGAGTATTAAATAACACCCATACAGATACACAGAGTCACACACACACAGTCACACACAAACCCACAGATAGACTTTTATCTTTGTGAAATTAAGAAAAGTCTATTTGTCTGGTTGTTATTTGTGTTAGATATATATGTGTATTGATTCTAGACCTTGAAAATGTTGCTTGATACTGAAAATAATTGGAAGAAGAAACCCTTGAAGATCTCTTTGGTGGGCGTTGTACAAATGATACTTATAGAGTACAATTTTAGGAATTTCATGCATGATTGATCGATCATACAACAAAAGAAGACAACTTCTAGTAGGTTTAATTAGCCGCTTATGCACTGCATAGGCCCCACTCAACTAATTGTCAACCATTTAAATCCATGGCTGATTTGAATCTTTTTACATGCACTAAGAGATGTAATGAATGAGACATTTATCAACCTCATTCGAAATGTACAATGGACTAAACTCTTTGAAATATACAATTCTACCTTTTGAAAAATAAAAAAATAATAATAAAAAAAAATGTCCTACCCAAAAAAAAAAAAAAAAAACTCTTTTGTATTTGTTTGGACAACATCTAAGTTCACCCTAGAGAGAAAAAAATAATAATAAAAAATTCACCCTAGAGGAGTTTCGGTACTCTATTTTAGATATCCACTACAATTATTATTGTTTCGGGAACCTTATTAATAGTAATTAAAGAATTTGAAGTTAAGGAAAAGTGGATATTCTAATGGGCTCATTTCGTCCAACTCCTATACGAAAAAATTGTTTCGGAAAAAACATAAAATATACAATGTCTTTTTTAAGTTGTTCTTTTTTGTTAAATGATGATGTAAAATTATGCACGATCCAAAACCGAACACTGTTTCTACCAAAAAAAGAGAAACGGTGAGTCAAGACTGGCATCAATGTGCTAGATGAGTACACTTGCACTATTGTATAGCAAATAAAGGACTCTATATTTAATTTATGTCGTACATTTTGAATTGTCCGACTTCTTTTTTATAGGAGAGTATTTGGTAGTTGTGATTAAGTCTGGACTCCTTCCGATATTAGTTTCCCCCTGTTCCCGAGCTTGCTAGTCAAGCGTAGGGAATGCCAAGTCGCTTCTGGTCTCTGATCATTTTTAAGCACACCTTTACTATGAACCTCAAAATCACATATGTTAATTTTACGTTTTATAATTTTTATAGACAAACAGGACCATATTGTCGAGTGATGCACCGTTGGGAGGATTAAATAACTTCTTTGACCTGCAAACCTTTTTAAGATCATGTTCTACCGAGACCATTGTGCGTTGTTTGAGCTAGGGATGTTCATTTGATCTGTCAATCCATAAAACCGATCTGATCCAATCCGATTCTTGTAGATTGGATTGGTTTTTTAGCCTCATGGTTCGAGTACGGATTGACAAATAAGGAATTCGTAGTCTACGGATCGGTTAATGGATTGGGGTATTAAAAAACCGATCCATCTGTTAATTGATCCGATCGGTTCAAATATATATATAATATGTATATACACACCATTTCTACTTTCTTTATTCTTTTATTCTTTTAAATTTTACTAACTTTTAAGTCTTACTAACAGTTGAAAATTCATTTATTAGGTCATAGTTAAAAATACTAATATTGAGCTATTTGGAAAAAGCCTAATACGTGGAATGATCCGATCCAATACAATCCGTAAAGTAACGGATTGGATTGGATTGGATTGGATTCAATTTTCACCAATTTGTAGGGATCTGATTAGATTTAATGTCTAATTCGACCTGCTCAAATCTGTGGTCACCCTTAGTTTAAGCAATGCCTCTTCGAGTAGTGTGCTTACTTAAGGGTTATTTTCCTCAAGTACCTTTCCAATTTGACGTTGGGTTTGGAACTATTCTCTTTTTGAGAGTCTCGTGTATTGTACTATATTTTTAGTATTAATAAAACACTTACATTTAACCCTAGTTTCTTTAGGTTATCGTTTCAATTTGGATCAACTACATGCGATTGCCAATGTTTTGACTCTTTAATAAAATGAGTAATTATTCTGAGCGTTAATTGGCCTACCCCTTAACTAAGGAGAATAGTTTTCTGAGTTTGACCCAGCTTGTCCTTTTAATAAGAAAAATTATAATCTTGAGCTTCACCCAACTCGTCCCTTTAATAAGGAGATAGACATCGTTCATCGTCCCTTTAATTAGGTAATTTTTCGTTCTTTGCCCTTTTAATAAAGGGAGTAGTCATTCCGGGCTTTACTCAGCTCGCCTCTTTAATAGGGAAGTAGTCGTTATTTAAAAGAAAATGGGTGTAACACCGGAATCTCTATTAATCGTTGATCAGCCATACAGCGTTGAATTCGTTCCCAGGCCTTGTCTGACTATGAGAGCTGGCCATGCCTGAAGTTGTTACTTTAACTGCAAGGAGGGGGATGCCGAAGGCTGGGCCAGTGACTGGAGTGAAGTCATAACAAGGTAGTCATATTGGAAGATGCGGTTGGATCACCTCTTTTTCAAAGAGAGTTAATGCTTGTTGGGTATTTTGGTTTGACAATGCGGAAGCTTAAAATCGTTTCTCATTGGCCAGTCATCATGAATCAACCTAAAGAGAGAAATAACAGGATTCATACCTTTGAAATTGTCAATACACGGGAATTCTTGGCTTGAAAATTTTTAAGCTTTTCCTATTAGAAGTTTTGAACAGGAATAGAAACTTCAAGCGTATAGAATAGAATCTTAATGATCTCCAAAAATCCTGATTTTAGAATATGACGTGGATAATTGAGTTAGCTTTCCAACCCAATCTGAATCACCTAACAAATCCAAATTAATATTCTATGAGATATGCTCGAAATACTGATAACGGTGTGGTGCTAACTGGGTATACTTGAACAATCAAATTAGTACTTGAACGATTGAATAACAAAAAAAGAACCTTGTATTTTATTTTTGTAGTATCTTTTGAGTTTTTTTTTTTAACCAGTATCTTTTGAGTTGATCGGTCTCTTTTGATATGTATTTGACAGCTCTATATAAGTTTCAAACTTCTTTCGTTACTTTCTCTGCTACAATTTAGGAGAAGTATAAAAGGAGATGTAGTTATCCTTATCTCTACTTAATTCCTTGTCGTTTTAACTTCTTTATCAATTTTTTATGGTGTATCATTAACAAATTAATTACTCATTTACCGATAAAATAAAATAAAAGAAAGAAAAGATACAATTGTATATATGTATGGTACTAAAAGCATGCATGTTTTACCCTAATGCCAATTATAAACTATTCGTAACATATACATACCGCACATACATATATTCTTGCCGGCATTGATGGATGGGGTGGAGTTCTTAGGAAATGGTTCAACTAATTACTAGTACTATAAGAAGAAATTTGCCCATCAAGTTTCGAATTGTAACCATGCTTGTAATTCATCAACTCATTTACCATGTCATTTCCAAGAATTCATGCCAAGGCCATCAATTATTAATGCATCCTAAAATTTTCACCATACCTAATCCAATAAGTCTGATATATGGTCTCTCTCCACTCGAGTCACTTGATATATTATCTATCAATCTAAATTTTGACCTACAAAGCAATCACCACCACCGAAGCTGGAATTGCCACGTGTCCCTTTTCAGTACGTGCCTCCTTTTATCTCTTTTAACTATATTTTTTTTCTACAAAAAAGAAACCAAAACACACAAAACCGACATTCAAATGCTTAGCTTAACCTACCTTTTAAACTCTATATATACACATATATATATATATATTGCTCTTTCACATATATCTGATTAATCTAACACCCTTTGGCTCACTTAGAGGCCCCCTTCTTCTTTTTTGGCTCAATTATATCTCTAATGGCAGAGTTCAATGCTGAGGTGCACAACCTTAAACCTTCATTTTCAGAGATCAACTCATCAAACATGGACTTGCTGAACAACCTGAGTGCATTAGAAGATGGTCTACACTCGAATGTTCAAGGACTAGTTGGTCTGTCAAATGACACTTTTTTGGATCATCATCAACAGTCACACCTCAATCCTATAAATTTCATTGATCATCACAATATTCAAAGCTCTTTCAACCATGATGGTCCATTTTATGATCCAATCGTTAATCAATTCTTGCCATTAGCTGGAGGTCCCAGCCATGAACACAACGGCGCAAAAACGATACCTGCCAAAGATAGTTTGGCAAACTCATCTCCAAATTCTGGAACTGGATTGGTAGGACATAACAAGACCACAAGAAACTATGCAATTTTAATTTTTGAAGTTTTTCTTATATTTAATTTTTGCTATAATCTTTTTTTATTATTATTTTGGTTGATGCTTGCATGCAGAGCTTTGGTGGGAAAAAGAGAAAGAGAAACAATGAGAGAGGAATGGAGAAACCTAGAGAAGTCATCCATGTGAGAGCAAGGAGAGGCCAGGCTACTGATAGCCACAGTTTGGCAGAAAGGGTTAGTTTAATTATAACACTATTTATTGATAAATACTATAGAATATTTAGGAATTATAGAAATATTTTATTGTTTTTTCAGTATTGGCAATAAATTGCTACCCAAAAATAAAAAATAAACAAACAATTAAGCAATTTAGTAATTATTGTTGTGTTTTTGTTTTGAACTAGTTGAGAAGAGAGAAAATAAATGAAAAGATGAGATGCTTGCAAGACCTGGTTCCAGGGTGTTATAAGGTAAGATTAATTAGTCAAATCCTCTTTCTTTCTTTTTTCTATTTTTAACTTGGAATATTTTTGTATTCAGGAATTTTAAATATATCATCATAGTAATTGTTCTTGTTGTTGTTTTGTTTTATTATTATATGGATTTGCAGACAATGGGAATGGCGGTAATGTTGGATGTGATAATCAATTATGTACGATCATTACAGAACCAGATTGAGGTGAGTCATAATTAGAAAATAAAATTAGTATAAAGTTATGAAAATAATTTGTTATGTAATTAATATTTTTTGTTCGATCAGTTTCTTTCCATGAAGCTTTCAGCGGCAAGTTTGTTCTATGATTTCAACTCATCGGAGATGGATACTATAGAGACAATGCAGGTATTCAATATTTAGTTCTTTATCTGATCATAATTTAGCTTATCATAATGTTTGATTTGATTTGCTTTCCAATAATTTCATATATATATATAAGATTTGAACTTCTAAGATTACACAGTTCATTTAATTATATTGAGTAATATAGAGTGGCTTATGTTTGTAGGGGACAAATGGGTATGAAGCACAATTGATGGAGAGGATGGCAGGAGAAGGGTATGGAGGGTTTAATTACTTTCCATCAACAATGCCTCTTTGACTTGAAGTTTTTGGTTATCAATCTATATATATATATATATATATATATAGCTTAACTATAGCCATATATATGTTGTATTCACAATAATATGACCTCTTCTTGTCTCAAATTCTAATCCAATGTGCAATTTCAAATGACACTTGTATAATTAATCCCTGTACACACATGTGGGGTCAAAATTAAACATAATTAAAGGATTATATACATATAGTTTCAATATTAATTCTTGGTATTTATAGTTATTTTAGTCACTTTTATTTATAATTAAGGATATTTTTGTTGTTATGGTTGTCTATGAATAAAGTGTTCACTACCACCTTTCACTACCAATTGGACAAGAATAAATGTTTCAAGTACGTAATTTCGTTATGCTTGAGGGGTCAACAGCAATCATAGAAATTATTGATAGAAAAATCAAGAAGAAGATATGATGTCTCTAACTCTACATATATATAAACGGACTAAGATGGTCTGATTGCTTCAACTCTTTGTGCGGTATGGACATCCAAAATGTGATAGGTACATCAAACTGACAAAAGCCCCAGGTTGGCTTGCACCACAGATCATTGCAAAGAAACCAACTTTAATTTAATTCTACCAATCACATATTTCATGCATATATATATATATATATGTATGGGTCCTTTTTGTAGACAATGAATGTGATAACCAAAGAAAATGACGTCCGAAGGAAAAAACTATATGGATAACGATTAACAAGTCCCTTGCATGATTGAAGTCGTGATCAATCAATGTTGAATATTATACATACACATTGAATGATAGAGAAGTGTTAGTTATAGGAAGGTACATACATTGCATCGATCTTATATATGTATGATAACTAAGAGAAGGTACAGCTTCGATAGGGCCATTGCAAATGGCTTGAAGATCGAGATGGGTAATGGGGTCCTAAGAAAAAGAACATTGATGTAACAACTTTCATCCCTATCTAAATATATTATTGTTCAATATTGTTGGCTTTTTAACTCACTCCGATCAAATACTTTTCAGAAATCATCCATTCTGTTATTATTTTAACTTTAGAGTTCTGGTGGATTCACTGGCATCACGGCTTTAAAATGTATTGTGTCATAGAAGGGTGTTGAATCTAAATATAAAACTTATCCCATCCACACCCAGGCAATGTGAGATTGTGCACATGTAGCTCACCCAGTGTGATAGCCTACTGGTATTACCTGCACACACTCACACACACCCGCCCACAAGGTCGCCACGATTACCCCCTTTGGGACCCAACATCCTTGTTAGTCACACTTCCGGCTGGATCAGGCTCTAATACTATTTGTAACAATCCCCACCCTATCTAAACACAAGTCGGCTTTTTTATTCACCCGGACCAGAAAACTTCCCAGGGGGTACACCCATCCTGGTACTACTCATGTTAAGCACGCTTAACTCTAGAATTCTGGTGGGTTCACGACAATCACGGCTTTAAAGCGCGTTGTGTCATAGAAGGGTGTTAAATCTACATATAGCACTTGCCCCATCCACACCAAGGCGATGTGAAATTGTGCTTTTGTAGCTCACCCATTGTGGTAGCCTACTGGTGCCACCTGTACACACTCACACACACCCACCCACAAAGTCGCCACATTGAAGCCCCTCGAACCACTTACATCTAAACCAGAGACGAAGCCAAAAGATTTTTTCAGAGGGGCACATTGTAGTATTGTACACCATAACATAAATTTACAATAAGAAATGGATAAAATCCAGGGGGACACGTGCCCCTGAGCCTTAACTCACTCTATCCGATCCTTGAAATTATGAACCTTAAAAGCAAGCATATGTGATCCTTTTCGGCATTGAGATTAGGGGTGGGCAAAAAATCCGCCAATTCGCGAACCCGATCCGATACAATCCGATCCGTACGGATCGGATCGGATTATCAGACCCATGGATCGGTGGCAGATTCTAATAAATTGAATCCGTAGTCCATGGATCGAATTACGAATTAGGCTGTCAAAAATCCGATTCGATCCGTGGCAATCCATGGGTAATCCGTAAAATATATATATATATATATATATATATATATATATAATATTAATATATAGCAACTCTATCCGTGGCAATCCGTGTGCCACATACTTGACGTTTTTTATTTTTTATTTTTTATGGTAAGTATTTACTGTTAGTTTACGGTTTGAGGAGATTCATGGAGATTGTTCTGCTACCCTTTTTTTTTCACTGCTAGTCTGCTACTTCCTTTTTTTTCTTTTTTTTTTTTCACTTCATTGCTACTTTTGGACCTTTGGTTATGTAATATTTGGCATATGGATCTGCTATCCCTTTTTTTATTTCACTTCACTGCTATTGTTATGTAATATTGGCATAGTCCTACTGTTTTTTCGGATAATTTGGATAACTACTATCCTCTTGGTTATGCAATATTTTACAGTTTGATTATTCTTGTTATTATGCATTTAAATTGGGTTAATCTATGTTCTATTTTACACTTCTGTAATTGGATATGAAATTGGTAAAAAATTAAAAATTGACTAATTTAGAAAATTTAGTCCGCAGATTGGATCCGATCCGATCCGTCATTTAACGGATCCGATCCGATCCGATCCGTGAACTAACGGATTGGTGGCGGATTCAACATTCTCCAATCCGTTGTGAGCGGATCGGATTAGGAATGATGCTTAATCCGATCCGATCCGTGGCCACCCCAAATTGAGATGATCCTTAGGTTGTATTTGATGATATGGAATTCAAGCCTTAGAATTTGAATGGATAGAATTGAAAAAAAAAAATTTTGATTCAATTTTCTAAATTACTTTTCTCTAATTCCACCCATTCTAATTCCAGAACTCTAATTACATATCTGTCAAATGTAGTTTTACTCATTTGGGACTTAGATGCTCTATGTGGAGAGATTTTGTATTCTATTAAGAGTAAAGATTGGATGATCAGATGATAAGAGTGGACCAACTTAGATGGATCTCACTTGATGGTCCAATATCCACCCTTGACAGTGTAGAGGATCTTTACATTCTACACTTTAATTTGACTATTTTTTGTTTGCCTTTAAAGGTGTGAGCATGCATATATGCATGTATCAAGAAAATAGAAGAGATATGAGAGCTAATTTCATAGAAAGTATACAATATCCCGGAATATTTATTATATGGTATTCTCAATCATTGCAATCATGTTTTTTTTTTTTTTTTTTTTTTAAAAAAAAAAAAAACTCCTCATTTCTCAATTATTAAGAAAGATTGAGAATCTTCATGACTTTAATCGGGAATACCACATATATATATATATCCGTGAAGTATTGTATATTTTCTAAAGAAAATTGCAAATCTCCCCACCATATTAATTTTAAAAACGTAAGTTTTTTTTTTTTTTAGAAAGATTCCTTTAGTGGCATGACAAATAGCCAAATGATTGGACACATTCTTGCATAATTTTAATCTTATAACAAAGGCTGTTTAAAAGAAATTTGTGCCATTAAGACATAGTGAATATACTTCATTATTCTTATAACAGAAGCACTTTTTTTTTTTTTTTTGATAAGTATTATAACAAAAGCACTTTGAAAGGACTTTGTGCCATTCAATTAAAGGACATACTTAATATGTGTGCTACATTAGTCAAATAACACACTTCATTATGATTTTGAATAAGGGCTTTGTAGTTCATCACCTATCCTGGGTTCTGGCTACAATCTAGAAGATTTGGCCTCGCATTGTCAAGGGGTTGGACCCATTACCTAACGCTGAAGCCCAAGTATGTCCAAATAAAGAAAATTTTAAAACTCAATTATTCTTAAGCAAGGGCATAATAGGATGTAAACTAGTTGAGTTGGGTAGATAATCATTCAATTTAGGATGTAAACTAGTCGAGTTGGGTAGATAATCGTTCAATTTTGAAGTAGAGATAGTTGTACATTTACTCAGGTTTTATGTGATCATCACAAACTTTATTTCTATGTGCATGAGAATTGTGATTAGAACACGAGTTTGAAATTTGAAAACAACCGCATTGTGCAAATGATGAGCTTAACCACATTGTTCAATGCTGAGGTGCACAACCTTAAACCTTCATTTTCAGAGATCAACTCATCAAACATGGACTTGCTGAACAACTTGAGTGCGTTAGAAGATGGTCTACACTCGAATGTCCAAGGTCTAGTTGGTCTGTCAAATGACACTTTTTTGGATCATCATCAACAGTCACACCTCAATCCTATAAATTTCATTGATCATCACAATATTCAAAGCTCTTTCAACCATGATGGTCCATTTTATGATCCAGTCGTCACTCAATTCTTGCCATTAGCTGGAGGTCCCAGCCACGAACACAACGGCGCAAAAACGATACCTGCCAAAGATAGTTTAGCAAACTCATCTCCAAATTCTGGAACTTGATTGGTAGGAGAAAACAAGACCACAAGAAACTATGCAATTTTAATTTTTGAAGTTTTTCTTATATTTTATTTTCTTTTTATAATCCTTTTTTTATATATATATTTTGGTTGATGTTTGCATGCAGAGCTTTGGTGGGAAAAAGAGAAAGATAAACAATGAGAGAGGAATGGAGAAACCTAGAGAAGTCATCCATGTGAGAGCAAGGAGAGGCCAAGCTACTGATAGCCACAGTTTGGCAGAAGGGTTAGTTTAATTTTAACACTATTTATTGATAAATACCATAGAATATTTAGGAATTGTAGAAATTTGTTATTGTTTTTTAATAGCAAAAATCTAATCAGTATTGGCAATAAAATGCTACCAAAAAATAAAAAATAAACTACAACTAAGCATTTTAGTAATTATTGTTGTGTTTTTGTTTTGAACTGGTTGAGATCGAAGAGAGAAAATAAATAAAAAGATAAGATGCTTGCAAGACCTGGTTCCAGGGTGTTATAAGGTAAGATTTAAGTCCAATCTTCTTTCTTTCTTTTTCTATTTTTAACTTAAAAATATTTTTGTATTCAGGAATTTTAAATATATAATATTATAATCATAGTAATTGTTCTTCTTGGTGTTTTGTTTTGTTATTATATGGATTTGCAGACAATGGGAATGGCCGTAATGTTGGATGTGATAATCAAATTATGAACGATCATTACAGAACCAGATTGAGGTGAGTCATAATTAGAAAATAAAATTAGTATAAAGTTATGAAAATAATTTTTATGTAATTAATATTTTTTTTGTTCAATCAGTTTCTGTCCATGAAGCTTTCAGCAGCAAGTTTGTTCTATGATTTCAACTCATCGGAGAGGGATGCTATAGAGACAATGCAGGTATTCAATATTTAGGTCTTTATCTGATCATAATTTAGCTTATCACATTGTTTGATTTGATTTGATTTGCTATCCAATAATTTCATAATTTCTATATATATGTGAAGTTTCAAAAGTCCAAGTACTTTATTGAATAAGATTTTTTTTTTTTTTTTCCTAGTTGGTACTCACATTATATACGTAAAAGACTAGTACCACTAGACAGCTCGTTGTTATTTATTGAATAAGATTTGAACTTCTAAAATTACACAGTTCGATCATTTAATTATATTGAGTAATATGGATTATGGAGTGGCTTATGTATGTAGGGGACAAATGGGCATGAGGCACAATTGATGGAGAGATGGCAGCAGAAGGGTATGGAGGGTTTAATTACTTTCCATGAACGATGCCTCTTTGACTTGGAAGTTTTTGGTTTTCAATATATATATATATATATAGCTTAACGGTAGCCATATATGTTGTGTTCACAATAATATGACCTCTTCTTGTCTCAAATTCTAATCCAATGTACAATTTCAAATGACACTTGTATAATTAATCCCTGTTGTGTGGGGTCAAATTCAAGATTGGTTGATCAGAGGATAAGAGTGGAACAACGTAGATGGATCTCACTTGATGGTTATCCACCCTTGATAGCGTAGAGGATCTTTACATTCTACACTTTAATTTGACTATTTTTTGTTTGTCTTTAGAGGTGTGAGCATGCATATATCTATGTATCAAGAAAACTGGAGAGATTTGATTAGCTAATTTCATAGAAAGTATACAATATCCAAGAATAGTTATTATGTGCTAATGATAGAGTAATGCGGTTGTTGATTAGATGTAAAGGTTCAAACTATGTTCACCAAATAGGTACTACCTAATGTCTCAATTAGTTTGTTATTACAGACCAAAGTAAAAAACTAAAAAAATGAGGCAAATCAGATTGATATCCAGAGTTTGTCCGACTCTGAAGCGCTTGCATAGCGCTCGGCATCCTCTGCCTGCTGCATGGATGCCTCTGCTTGAATTTCACAAGCTGTAGCAATGCGTTCCTTCGCATGAACCGAACGCATCTGCAAAAGAAAATAAAAATCATAAAATCAATGTTCCATTTCTGTGACAGCATTTTTCATATTGAAAGCTCTTAAATTACCTTCAAGTTTTGCTCCACCACATACTTCTTATCTCACAAATCCCGAGAGCAATAAATACCCAAGCTAACCAGGAACACCCCACACTTAATGTGGTCCTTGAAGGTCAGAGTTTTAAACCCAGCAGAAACATCTAAAAAATCCAACAAAAACACATAAATTAACCATATCCAATGTGTCCTCTAAATCTTTGTATTTGTGTACTTACATGCTCCCAACATCTTCAGGTACCTCCCAACATCTTCAGGTACCTATGTTGTAAAAAAAATTAAAGATCATAATCTAATATAAGGCAAAAGCAGCAAGATTATTGGTACAAAAAAGGAAAAAATGAAAAAGACGTATACATTACCAAAAAATATACAAACTAACAATTTTTAATTCACGAAAAGTATACACCCTGTTGGCACCTATTCAGCATCAGCCTTTTGTGTACTAAAAAATGACACTCAAAACCTAATAAAACCCATGGTAAAATTAAGGAGCTAGCATTACTAAATCGTGCACCAAAAACTAATAAACCCATGGGTAACCAAATATTTAAACTCTAACGTAGTAACCAAAATCTACAAAGAAAGATGAGGAACGTGTTGGAAACAAGTTTGTTATATCCAAGAGAACAAAGCAAAAAGGCTTTCAGCAAGCAACATAAATTGATATAAAATTATGCATATTTGTGCTTTTGAAAACAAATAAATTTTAAAATCCCAAGTACAGCAGCATATCGATCAAACACTCTGCAATCAAAAGCTTTACCAAAACATAGTTAACCTTTTACTTTAATTCTCTTGAACCTTGAAGTTTTCGGGACACTATGTTATATATCATGACATCTGATGTTCAGAAAACCTAGACATAGTGCATGCATCATATAGACTACCACATACAGACTGGTGAGTAATCTTATAAAGTGTTGACTATCTGAGCATGCAATGAGTTCAACAGATTTGACAAGTTCAATCCATGACAATTGTATAACCAGAAGTAAAAAAGATTTGACTCCCCTAAGCCTTTTCAACCATTATAGGTACCAGGGCATATCGTAACCAAAAGAAAAAAATGGCATACTCAAAGATAAAGGACAATGATAGAAAGATAACATTTATTTGCTTTGACTTTTCTAAAGGAACAACTAATTTGGGACATCCAAAAAGGAGTGGCTTATGTTTGTAGGGGACAAATGGGTATGAAGCACAATTGATGGAGAGGATGGCAGGAGAAGGGTATGGAGGGTTTAATTACTTTCCATCAACAATGCCTCTTTGACTTGAAGTTTTTGGTTATCAATCTATATATATATATATATATATATATATATATATAGCTTAACTATAGCCATGTATGTTGTGTTCACAATAATATGACCTCTTCTCGTCTCAAATTCTAATCCAATGTACAATTTCAAATGACACTTGTATAATTAATCCCTGTACACATATGTGGGGTCAAATTAAAGATTGGATGATCAGATGATAAGAGTGGAATATCGTAGATGGATCTCACTTGATGGTATCCACCCTTGATAGCGTAGAGGATCTTTACATTCTACACTTTAATTTGACTATTTTTTGTTTGTATTTAAAGGTGTGAGCATGCATATATGTACGTATCAAGAAAACTGGAGAGATTTGATAGCTAATTTCATAGAAAGTATATAATATCCAAGAATATTTATTATGTGTCATTCATAGAGTAATGCGGTTGTTGATTAGATGTGAAGATATATAGAATAGGTTCAAACTATGTTCACCAATAATAGGTACTAACCTAATGTCTCAATTAGTTAGTTATTACGGACCAAAAGATAAGATGTACTACCTAATGACTCAATTAGTTATAGTTAGTTATTACGGACCAAAAGGTAAGGCAATCAAATGGAAATCCAGAGTTTGTCCATTGAACCTACAAAAGAAAATAAAAATCATAATTGGTCATTTTAAAACCAACATCACGCTACAACGGAATTTATTTATATAATTCAATTAGCTAGGCAAAAAAAAAAAAACATACCTTCTTTTCCCCTACTCCACTCATTCCCATCAACTCTCTTCTTTCAGAAAAGTGACCTACATTATTCGGACAAAAAAAGGAAAAGTTTTAAAAGCGTTAATATACTTGTAAAACATATATTCTGAAATTGAAAACCAAACTTCCAAGTCTTTAATTACCATTAATAAATTATTCAAGCATCACATCATAACAATATTATATATATGTATGCAGAAACAAAAACAAAAACAAAAAATCAATAAAACATGAATATATAAACATAACCAATAGCTAAAAATGCTAATTAAAATTTTAGAAAAAGTAGGGAGCTCGTTACCTGATGACTGAGGAGGCATATTTCTTGAACCTTGTTCTTGCTAAATGTTAAGGCCCGATATTAACCCTAAAAATAAAAAAACACTCAAGTTGTGAGGAAGAGGTTTCACAATCTCACTCATAACAATTAAAACACCACCATCTAAGTACTATTTGTATCATGTATCAACCCAACCCAACCCAACTATGCTTTCAGTCAAAATGTTGGACACCTATTTGCAGAAAGAGGCGTGATTACGGATAAGTGTGATTAGCACATATTATAATCAGCTCTTATGTTAAATTAATCCAATAACAAAGTACAATGCATCAGTTTAGGAATAAATCAATATCCTGATATTCTGCATTCTAATAACAAAAGAAAATCAAAAACCAAAACTTGAAAATAAAAATATGGCAGAAAGACACATTGTATTTCTATGTCAAACAAAACATCCAGGATTTCTCAATGGGGTGGGCTAAATCAAAATATATCAACCAAAATCAACTGTTGTTTAATTCAATTCTAGTTAACTAACAATGTTTCTTTAGACAATTGACTGATTAAGGCATAGAAAATCCTTTTTGGGTAATTAATAAGAAAAATTACCAAGTTATTTCTGAACAATTCACCACTTAGTACCCTATCTCTTCTTTTGACCAATTTACTAATCCTATTTGAGAATCTACTAGTGGAAGCAGAGTGTGAGGTAGTTCATGGCAAGCCCCTTCCAACACTATGGAATTCACTCAAAAGCATGCTTTTTGTAAGTATTTTAATTTTCAAGAAGTAACTTCAGAGCTTTACCCTATATTAACTACTTTTGCTTGTCAAAGGTCTTGTAATGATTTTTTTTAGTTCTGAAAAGATTTCCATCTTCAAAAAGCTTGGCATGTTGATAAAAATTGTTTCAAATTCAATCTCTGCAGATTTCTAATCCAATTTAGATTTTTTTTTTTCTTTTTTTTCTTTTTTCATGCCCAGATTCAAATTTTCTTGTAGACATAATTGACAAAAAAAAAATATATATATATATATAAGTTGTGAAAATAAAAAATAAAAATAAAAATAAAAATTGTTTTGCCGAAATAAATTGTAGATTACGGTGATTACCTCAAAATTCAATGCAATGCAAATTTTGTTACCTATATGGTAAAAAGAAAAAATTATTTAAAAAAGATCATAAAAAATTTCACGATTTAGTTTGCAAAACAAGAATTACAGATCTTGATTAGTTGATTTAGAAAAAAAAAAAAAAAAATTAAAACAAAACCCATACATACAAGTTAGCAGTTGCAGAGGGAGAGGGGGGCAAGCTTGAGAGTTGAGAGACAGCGTCTGAGCTTGCGAACGGCGAACCCGAACTGGAACAGCGGGCGATGGAAACTGAAAGATATGGGTTTTGATTTTTTGAACAATCTGAAATGATATGCCGATATGGGTATTTAACTTTTGATTCTTGCAGACAGATAGATAAACTGAAATATATGGGTTTTGAACTTCTGATTCTTGTAGATTTTGTAGTTTGCAGTTGCAGAGAGAGAGAGAGAGAGAGAGGGTAAGTTCAGAGTTGAGAACGAGACTAGAGACAGAGGCGATTGGGGAGGCTGAAATGATTTGCCCTAAGAATAATACATATATACACATACATATATATATATGTATATACAAAAATAATCAAATGATTAAATCTATCGGTCAAAAAAGCAAAAAACAGGTTTGGTAAGTTGCCTAAAAATATTTTGTTTTTTTTGGTGACCCATCCATGGGCCTATAAATTTTGAGGCCTAGGTGAATGCTTTTGTCGCCTTGGGTCAGGGCTGGTCCAGGACTTATTTGAATTGGGCCATTGTTTTATATAGTGGCTGAGTTGACTTGGGTTTAATTGAGTGGACTAATTCTATTAATTTTTTTTTTTTGGTCTGGACTAAAATTAGTACAGTAAAAAAATTTTGGAGTGGGCTCTAGCCCATCCCTATATCTATCCTCGGTTACTTTCATTCCGGCTATGACAATTTTCTTCGAAATTTCTTATTTTAAACTGAATTTTATTGAATTAAATTAATTTTAGCATCATTATGTTGTACCTTCACTCAGGTTTTATGTGATCATCACAAACTTTATTTCTCTGTGTATGTGAATTGTGATTACAGAATTTAGTGGGAGGGTTTTAGTAAAGTTTTGAATTTGCTTGTGGTTTGAGCAATGGTTTGGTGCGTAAACTGTATCAAATTATACGCATAAATTTGGAATTATTGATGAAATTTTAATGGGTGGATAAAGCTCTCCTGTTTTTTTTTTTTTTTTTTTTTTTTTTTTTTTTTTTTTGCAGAATGACCAATGATATTGAGCTTAAAGTCCGCGACAATGAATTGGATCAGTATGGTGTTGTAAATAATGTGTTTATTCAAGTTACTCCAACACGGTGAGAGAGTTTTGAACCTAGCCATATAGAAGTACAAGCTTTGCTAACTGTTTACCATAATTTTTGTTTGATCTTTTTTGATGAGCAAATAAATATTATAAAAAACATGATTTTTTCATTAGAACATGAGTTTGAAATTTGAGAGCAACCACATTGTGCAAATGATGAGCTTAACCTAACTTTTAAACTCTCTCTCTCTCTCTCTCCTAACTTCTAAACTCTCTCTCTCTCTCTCTCTCTATATATATTGCTCTTTCACATATATCTGATTAGTCTAACACCCTTCGGCTCACTTAGAGGGCCCCCTTTTTTTTTTGGCTCAATTATATCTCTAATGGCAGAGTTCAATGCTGAGATGCACAACCTTAAACCTTCATTTTCAGAGATCAATTCATCAAAACATGGGACTTGCTGAACAACCTGAGTGCATTAGAAGATGGTCTACAGTCGAATGTCGAAGGACTAGTTGGTCTGTCAAATGACACTTTTTTGGATCATCACCAACGGTCACACCTCAATCCTATAAATTTCATTGATCATCACAATATTCAAAGCTCTTTCAACCATGATGGTACATTTTATGATCCTGTCGTCACTCAATTCTTGCCATTAGCTGGAGGTCCCAGCCATGAACACAACGGCGCAAAAACGATACCTGCCAAAGATTGTTTAGCAAACTCATCTCCAAATTCTGGAACTGGATTGGTAGGAGATAGCAAGACCACAAGAATAGGATCTTAATATATATACTTAATTATGATTTTGAATAAGGGCTTTGTAGTTCATTACCTGTCCTGGGTTCTGGGCCTGAGCCCATTGTGTGCATCAGTTGTATGGCTACAATCTAGAAGATTGGGCCTCGCATTGTTAAGGGGTTGGACCCACTACCCAACGTTGAAGCCTATTAAGTATGTCCAAAAAAAGAAAATTTTAAGTCTCAACTATTCTTAAGCAAGGGCAAAAGTAGGACTATTAGCATATAAGCACAGAACCTCAATACAATCACCTAGGGTGGGTGAGTTTGGCACTCATCTCGGCTTAGACCCATATAGAAAATCTTTAACCTAAGTCTAGCCCGATCCCGCCTTAAGCCCGAGTCGAGCTACACAAGCCCAATTCATAGGGTTGCAATTCGGGCGGGTTGGGTAGGCTTGACACTCATCTCAGGCTAGGCCCTTATAAAAAATCTTCATCCCAAGCTCATACATAATTTGTCCAGTCCAAGCCCGCACTAAGCTCACCTAAGAATTTGTGTGTAAAAAATAAATCAATTAATGCTACACCCACGACTTGAACCTAAACCATTAAGCATAAATCCCAAGCCCACTACCAACTTAGCTGCTACACTCTTATAACTTAAGTATAATTATAAATATATATAATATTTTTGGGCTCGGGTTATGTTTTGGGCTTCATCCATGTCAACCTAAGCCTAGCCCTAATTGAATTCGGACTCAAAATATATAGCTCAGGTCCAAACCGAAATTAGAAAAACATTGTCCAAGCTCACAAAATTTTGAGCTGGGCTCGGGTTATTTCGGGTTGGGCCCGCCTGAGTTAAACCCTACCAACCCATACATAATTAGTCCAACCCGAGCCCGCCTCAAAAGAATTTGTGTAAAAAATAAATCAATTTATGCTACACTCATAACTTAAACATGAAACCTTAAGCATAAATCCAAAGCACATTACCAACTTGGCTACCACACTCTTGTAAAGTATAGTTATTAATATATATAATATTTTCGGGCTCGGGTTGGGATTCGAGTTTCATCCATATCAATTTAAGCCCAAACTGAATTGAATTCGAACTCAAAATATATAGCCCAAGCCCAAATCAAAATTAAAAAAATATTGCCCAAGCCCATAAAATTTTGGGCTCGGCTCGGGTTATTTTGGGTTGGGCCCGTCCGAATTGAAGTCGTACAATGCTTGTGGAGAATCACATATGGCAAATTGGCAATGATAAAAGTCCCATCTCATCTTATTACTCACCTTTGGTCAATTTTTGCCTGCTAACAATCTGAAACAACTCGTCCAATTATTACAAAATTTTCAATCCAATGTGCTACAGCGGATCTGATTTATAAGAAAAAAATAACTCATCCAATTTCCTAAGATATTTCATGGGTTAAAACAATAGATTCCTCGAAAAAGACACATTGATAGAGTAATGTGTTTATTGATTAGAAGTGAAGAAACATATAATAGGTTCAAATTATATCCACAAATAATATGTTCAAATTGTACTACTACCTAATATCTCAATTAGTTATTACAGACCATGGTAAAAAGTAAAAAGATGAGCAATAAAATAACTTGTCTGATTCTGCAGCCTTTGCATTGTGCTCAGCTACCTCTGCCTGGCGAACTGTGGCCTTTGCATGAATCTCACATGTTGTTGTCATGTGTTCCTTTGCAAGAAGGAGCGCATCTGCAAAAGAAAAAAAAAAAATATCATAAAGCAATGTTCCATTTCTATAGTGTGTGTTAAAATTCTTGATTACCTTCAACTTCTTCTCTGGTGTTCCCTAGACTCATGAGAAAGGTAAAAACCCAAGCTAGTCTTGAACACCCCAATCTTGATCCAGTCTTTGAGCTTTAGAGATTTCAATCCTGCAGAAACAACTAAAAAATTCCAACAAAAAAATATAAATTAAATATATCCAATGTGTCCTCTAAATCCTAGTGTATGTGTGTACTTACACTCTTTGGGAAACATGGTGACCGTCTTCAGGTACCCATGTTGTAAAAAAAAAAAAATGATCAAAATCTTATATTAACAAAGCAAAAGTAGCAAGAGAATCCAAGCAATTCATATCACATCTTACTACATATATGGATAATCACATCATATCACAGACCGCTACTTTTAAAAGAAAGTCTTCAACGACTAAAAAGAAAGAAGCACACTATCTAGTCTAGTATGTAATGTACTAATAGATCACAATTGGACTAAGGATAAACTTAAATATATCAATTGAAGCAACATGTAATCATAATAATCTTAAACCATGTACTTAAAGAGTGCAGTGCATTTCTTTTACTCCACCTTTTCAATTCTTTATGGGAAAAAATTGTAATACGAAGAAATTGAAACTACACTTCAAACTTAACACACTGAGTGTGGATGACTAATGAAATTTATACCTTCTAGTAATTTTTAATTGTGCAGTTATATGCTCAACCATTTATAAATTTATAACATAATCTTAAAACAATTACCATGTAAACTCAGAAAATTTTTAATGTTTTTGTGATGCTATGGTCCAAATTTTGTTTCGGTCAGGGTCGCAATTACTCCAGTGACCCGAAAAGTGGCTGTCGCTTATGGGTTGTGGACCTTGTTTATAATACTCTCTTATAACTCGGTATATAAGGATCCTAACGATTTGGAGTAGGATTAGAGAGAAAATTGAAAATCACAGGAAAGATAGTGAGAGCTACTATGGTACAGAGGAGATATCTAATTTGATTTATATTTATAGTTCATCCAAATCAAAACTCATATGCAAACAGAGTCGATAAATTACTGCTCCTTAACAATTTCACAGGTTGTTTGAGTTTATAAAACATATTAAATCATTTGAGATCAACTACTAAATTCTAGATACATAATTTCATCTCTAAAGTTCTAATTTACTATTCATTTGGAGCTTCGAAAGGAATCAAGAAATTATTGATAAAATTCCAACAAAAAAAACATAGATTAAAAATATCTAATGTGTCCTCTAAATCCTAGTGTATACGTGTACTTACACTCTTTGGTAAACATGTTGACCAACTTCAGGTACCTATGTTATAAAAAATAATAATGATGAGAATCTTATGTTTACAAGGCAAAAGCAACAAGCGAATCCAGACAATTCATGCTACTAATCAGAGCGGGAGATCTTCTTGTAAATATTACTGTATATAGTAATACAAATAGAAGTCTAATAAGTTCACCACATTCCCTTAATTTACCATGTACATAAGGTTAACAAAGAGGCACCTTGCGTGACAAGAGTTATAATTAGTTATTATTGATGGCAAACCAATTTAGAGATACAGTCAATGCAAAATTTATTATTATTATTTTTATATAGTTTTAGGGACTGCACGCCATCAAACAAATATGAGAACTGTTGTTTTGACTTCTAAAAGACCTTTAAAGATATGTTTTAAAAAGTAAAAATTCCAACTTCGGGTCCACAACGGAGGATTTACAAA